TCCATGCAGCTTGTCTGCTCCTAACTGGCTTAAATCCAGGATTAGTCAATCCTGGATTATTTAATCCTGGATGCTTCAGTTAGCTTCACACTGATCAGAAACTGATGAGTTTCATGATTCTAGTGGTTTGTTCCTGTATGCAGAAGATGCTGAAAATCTTTGCCACAGAATCAGGAGTGACATTATGGTTAGGCCTACACTGCAAAAAAAAAAAAATCTAATCTAAGTATGTACATTTTTTCTTAAATTAAGTGAATTTTTCCTTGAATTGAGCAGGTAAGTGAAACACTTTTCCAATGGAACAAGACAATTACAGTTAAAGTACCGGTAAGAAAAAAACAACTGGAGTCTCTTATTTCAGGTGCATAATATCTGGTTATCTTTATTATTTTTTAACACCTTTGTTTCTAGATGTTGGAGCTTGGCCTGTTTTCCAGTGTAGTCCTGTTTCTCTGACTGTGACTAACTGGATGTGCTCTCTTCATCCTCTGACATGGGAGCTGGCTCGGAGCTCGTCTGCCTGGCTGTGTGTTTCCTGGACGGGGCCGCCTGTGGAGCTGGTTGACAGTTGCCTTTTGTATCTATGCTTCTTTTTCTATGTCTGCTTCTGTCTCCTTGAACCCCAGTGGGCCTCAGCAGATGGCCGCTCACACTGAGCCTGGTTCTGCTGGAGGTTTCTTCCTGTTCAAAGGGAGTTTTTCCTCTCCACTGTCGCTACAAGCATGCTTAGTGTGAGGGATTGCTGAAGAGTCAATGAGTCGATGCAATCAGCTGGTTTTCCTTAGATAGAAAACTTTGAATTAATCTGACTGGATGATCTGGTGAACTGGAAAGTGACCTGAGATGATATGATGTGAATTGGAGCTATAGAAATAAACTGAATTGAATTATTTTAAGGCTAAATATATTAATTCCATAAGCAGATCATCTTCTTTACTCACTAAAATTAAGAGTAAAAACTAATTCCATTTTTTGGCCCCGATACCTGGCTGTAAAGTATTGGCCGATTGAATTGATGTGTGTATATATGAAGAACTGCTTACTTATTTTGAGATTTTTTTTTACTAATTTTATACATTCTCAGCTGCAAACATTCAGTGTGAGCTTCATTAACTTAATGCCTAAGATGATCTGTGATGCTTCAGCAACATAAAGGCCAAATGTTCTTCCTCAGTCTGTGACTCCGGAGCCTTGAATTCTAGGAATCGACATTTGATCCAGATACTATCGTTCTGCTAAATGTTCTCTTTTCATCTTGACCTGCTGCAGGTCATCTTTGGTTTAGTCATATTAGATCTGGATAAATAATATGTAACGATATAAAAATGAAGAGCAATAAATCACCTCCACTGCTCACAAAGTTTAGGATTCAATCCCAGGTCCCTCACATCCAGGCTTTTCACCACCGAGAGACTGGCTGCAAGGACAAAAACAGGCGTATAGATCTACCAACATAATAACATCTGGATGTTATCGTATTAGCTTTCACTTCCACCTCTTTTAAATTAGCAGTTGTTTATTTGAGAAAAAACTGGCAGTAAAATGCTTAAACATTTTTATTAAGGAGGAGTGATGAAGTAATGTGTATTCAGGCTGTTAAGGCATTTAGTTTATTATTTAATTTGTTAAATAGTTTTGCTATCATTTAGATTGTTCACCAAATGGATGAATCTGCAATCGACTTCATGGTCTCAAAGGAAGCTGCAGGTCTGCATTTATCAGGATTAAAGCTACAGTGTGTAATTTTCAGCGACATCTAACGTCCAGACTGCAGACCGCAGCAACATGAACATCTCCCCCCCCCCACCGCTTCTCCCCCCCAACAGTACGGCGAGCGTTACGGGACAAAATGTCTTCCACGACGTCCGCATCACCTACCTTCTCAAGTGATGAGGTTTGTTTACATAGATAATTTTAATACTGCCATCTCTTGTTCAGTACCGTCTCAGTTCATCTCTCTCAACTTGCCGTAGTTACTTTCGAGCGTAATGGGCGATCTCGCAATCGCTAGTTTGTTGGCTCTGCGCTGCCGTAGCGCAAAGATGTCAGCCTCCATGGCTGCGAGACCCGCTCCTATGTAATTATAAATAACGAATTCTAAGGCAACGCAAATATTAAGGTTAAGAGGCTGAGCTCGTAGATGATGATAAAATAACATAGTTATGTATAATATATTACATTTCTGACTGTATATCCCTGTATTTATTACACACTGTAGCTTTAATTAAATCCGGTTGGATGTAACCAGACCGGTTGAGTCTGACTTGTGAAGCAGATGAAGCCAGGAAGTGCCGATAAGCTTGGTCACATTCAGGCCTAATTCTTCTGATGCTCTCAGGTTTTCATCGCAGCACTTTGCCATCTGAACAGAACAGTTTAAACAAACCAGTCGAGATGACTGGGATAGATGGACAAGGATTCCCTGGGAAACTTTGGTTTTAAAGGAAAAGTCCGCTCATATTCAGAATTCAAACTTCTGAAACTAGTCATGGCAAAAAGTTTTGAGAATGATTCAAATGTTAATATTTACAAAGTCTACTGCTTTAGTTTTTATAATAGCAATTTGCATATCCTCCAGAATGTTATAAAGATTGATCAGTGTAACAGCAATTAATTGCAAAGTCAATAGTTGCCTAGAAAATTAACTTTATCCCCCAGAACACATTGCAGCGTCACTGCAGCCCTGCCTTAAAGGAGCAGCTAACATGGTTTCAGTGATTGCTCCATTAACACAGGTGTGGGTGGTGATGAGGACAGGGCTGCAGATCCATCTGTCAGAATGACACTACTGGACACTTTAAAAAGAGGCTGCTGCTTGGCATCATTGTTTCTCTTCTTTTTTTTTTTTTTTTATTTATTTGAACATGATACAAATATAAAAAAAAATAAAATAGTGCACAGTAACAAGAAGTGCATAAAGAAGAAGAAAAAAAACCATAGTTATCTCTAAAGAAACACGTGCAGTCATCATTGCACTGCAGAAAATGGCCGAACAATAAAGAGAATCGCAGCTAGAAAGATTGCATGGTCTGACAGAATATTGGACTCAGTGATCGCGACAAAATATTTACTGATTAACGCAAAATTCATTAAATCACCGCAAACGTGTTAGTTTTACATATAGATAATGATCCTTTGATTATTCTTTGCTGACCGGATTTCTCCTTTAAAGTCGTACGGAAGCGGCCGTTCCAACCGTTGCATTTCCGAATTCTCCCGAGTGGTGCACGACTTTACACGAGTGAATAAAGTGAATGTGATTGGTCGATTATCAAGGGGGCGGGATTGTTTTGGTGGAAGGTTCGTAACCAAGTTTGGTTGTGGCGGGTTTGTTGGAAGCATCTTGCTAACCAGTTAGCATCTTAGTGCTAGCAGGTTCCCAATGGGAAATTCCATTGGGACCAAGTAGCACTAAATCGGTGACTTAGAAACGACGCTGTCAAGGAACGCTATGGACAGCGGAAACATGCAAGAGGAGGAGAGTTTAGTGTCGGAGGTCGTGGATGAGTCTCCTCCGTCATCCATTTTTTATTTAGAGGAGGAAAGCGGGGACGAAGATGTTGTGGAAGAGGACGCCAGGGCGGCAGAAGCTTGGTTTGGTGTAGCAGGCTTCCAGCCGTACGTGTTTGAGCCCTTGCCTCGCAACGCTGCCAGTTCTGTTAGCTCTACGCCTGCCGAAGACACAGACGTCCATCCCCGTGAACACTGGGACGCAACTCAATGGGAAAGGAAAGGATTCTGGTTTCAACCGTTGCATATATTAGCTGCAACATATGAATCAAGATGCTATGACCGAAAAAAATGTGATTGACAGATGACCGTTGATATATGATTGGCCGAATTTAGGTGTTCAGGCTGACGTAGAACTAACTGGCCTGAAGAAGATAACGAAAAAACCACAGATTTTAAGACAGACTTTGAAAAAATATACATTTTCTAAATTTTGGGACAATATCGTCTGATAAAGACTACATTTATATACATGTTTAAGCCAGAATTATTTGACATTTAAATATGAAATATGAATATGAATCAGAAAACACTTTATTTTAGGATTCAATAAACTTTTTTGCTGGATACGACCTTCTAGTCTTGTTGTTTTGGACCATGTAGTGTCATCTTAGTGCTTTGAGATGATCCAGTTTCTTGCTTATCTACCTGCATTTGGAGAGCTGACCTCAGCTTCTCAAATGCATCATTAGGCTGGTAAACATTAGTCCAAACATTTTTTGAAGATAACGAAGATAACGAAAAAAAACTTTTAAGACAGGATTTTTTTATAAATGGAAATTTTCAAACTTTTGGGACAATATCGTCAGATAAAGATTACATTTCTATACATGTTTAAGCCAGAATGATTTGACATTTAAATATGATTTCCCTATGACTTTACTGACTTAAAAAACCTTTGGCTAGAAATCTGTCATTCAGAAGAAGTGGAAAATAAAACCAGTAGATTCATAAATATGTTTTAAAAAAATAATAGCCATAAATCTCACTGTAATGATTCAGTGTTAAATAAAACCGATGACAGAAGGAAGGAGATGGCAGCGTTGCTGTGTTAAACTAAAATGAATCTCAGTCAAAACCACATTAAAGCTTAGCCACACTTCCTTATCCCCATGCCCAGCGCTAATCCACGCTAATCCAGAGTTTTACTTTCAATCCCGTATCTGTAAATCTGACCTAAGAGGATTTCTCAGTAATGCAAACCAGCCTCCAATCTCCCCTTTCTTCTTCATGGAGTAATAAGGTTTCAAAGGGACGGTTCTGGCTCCTATTAGGAGGTTTTTAAAGGTTCATTTTCACAAACATCTTTGTTGATCTTTCAATTCAAACCTAAATATAAAAACTACTCCTAAGGGATAAAAAGCTGATGGATGACATCACCTGAGAAAGAGGCATCATTCAGAGCTTCGATTGGACCGTAGATGCTGAGCAGAACCGTCTGAAACATCAGATTAACCATTCTGATATGAACAATCATGCAGGATTAGAGGTGAAGGCGCCTCATGTTTGGTAACTTTATTGTGCAGATTTTAGGAAACTTTTACAGGACAGCAGTAAATGTTCACAACACATCCACATGTTCACAAAGCGCAGAGAAACAGTGAATCAGAAGGAGCAGGAATCAGATCCCAGATACTCTGAGCGGATGCAGCGACTCTAGACTCTTCTAATGATCATCTTAGGGAAACCATCTTACGCTAAACACAGAATGCATCACATCTCCAACAATCTGAAGCGTTTCTGAGTTTATCCAGGGTTAAACCAAAAGTCTTAGATCTGAGAATCAATTAATTATCAGTTATTTTTGGGCACATTACATTAATTTAATTTGGCAACCAACAGTTTCTATGTTTGGAACGCAGCACCTTAAAGCATCTACTACCAATGAACACATAACCATGAACACAACACATGGTGCTGCTTTAGTACAAATAGACTTTGAATCTGTTTTTAGTTTTCATTTTGTGTTGATTGATGCCTTATTAGCTCAAACCAGTTTCCCTTTTTCTCCATTTAAAGAACAACTCTGATATTGGACAAATAGAAGCTGATAAACAAATTAATACTTTACCCTGAAAGCTTTTATCTGATATCGTAACAGATTTCTACCAACGTAACCAAGTCTGAGACTTTTCCTTCATCCAGCTGCTTAACGGGACATTTTAGACCTTTTTGAATGTTTTTTTATTATCAGCAGGAACCGTTTTTTTATTTCCTTTTATATCGTCTGGATCGAGCTGAATGTGGCGTTCTGGTGTCCTGCTGACTAACGTTCCACCAATCGCCTCACAAACTTTCATAATGCTTCATTTTTTTAAAGACAATCCAGACTTTTCAATTAGGGTGACTTCTGAAATTAAATGATTTTAAATGTAATTTTGTTCCATTATTATTTCACAAACAGAACATTAAAAAAATGGAATCTAGGAAGGAAACTTTGAAAAACTTTATCAGGCTTCTTAAAGGATTTGGAGGAAACTTTGCTGTGATTTTCTAATTTTATTTGTTCTAAATTCTCTGTTTTAGATTGACTTTAACAAATTTCCTTCCTTTTTAATTCCATTTTCAGATCATTTCCCAGGGGCTGTGATTAGTCAACATCTTTCAATGTCTTCACTTTCTTTTAAACCAGATCAGTTGCTCCTAGAGGCTAAAGCTAACAGCTAATCCATGTTGGATTAGCTGTTAGCTTTAGCTAAAAACAGCAGATTTCTCTCTATATAATAAACCTGGATGTGAAAAATGTCAAAGCAGACAGCGTTTTAAAACCGCTGCCATGTTTGTTTTAGCTAACAGCATCTGAGCTAGCAGCTTCTTTAGCCGATGCTAGCCGTAACGGCGACGCTACCATGAGAAGCTTGGACATCAGAACGGATGTTAAACTCAGATTTTGATGTATTTTTTAAATCTATTTTTATAGAAAACAAAGACAGAAAACATTTTTTTTCCCAGAAATCTTAATATTCTGTTTATATCTTCATAATTGATCTTTTTACGAATTTTACTTTGAAATGAAGGATTAGCCACAGCTCTTTTTTAATTATTATTTGGCCTTTGGAGTTTTATTAAACCTGATTTTCTTGTAATATTTAAAAAAAAAAAGAATAAAAAGTTGTTTTCTTTCTTGTTTGTTTTTTTTAATCATGGTGAAGAAGTTGTTTATAAGAAAGTAATATATTTGTTTTACTGCTGTCTAAGATGACCTTGTAATAAACGTCCTGTCAACACATGATTTCTACAGCAGGTACAGATCAGTAATTATTTTAAGGACATAAAGATATTTGGCAAAAGGAGAGAAATGAGGCTTCTAGGACATTATTTCTGAAACTTCTAACTAAAGGATCTGAACCTTACGGAGTCACATTTAAGGCAAAAATCATTAGAAATAAAATGGTCAGACAGATTTTCTTCTTCCTGTTGGTTTTGGCACCTCTGACTTCATGGCCATCATTCACAGACTAAAGCAAATAAACAGCTTATAAATACTTGAGTAACAATAGAAAGAAAGAAAATAAGCAATTAAAGGCAAAATAAAGACAACTTTGTCAGGATTAGTGCAAAACTTAGAACTAGAAATTAGATCCAGACTTGAAGCAGAAATGCGGAGCCTGTAACATTAGTCAGAAAGCAGCAGGACGTAACGAGCTGCCGACTCCTCGGGGCCCCGCCCATTTCTAACCGCTTCATTAACACCAGTCTAAACAAACAGAAGCAGGATCTGAGAAAAAAAACAAACTTTTCTGTTCTGTGTCGTTCATAGTGGTCCTTAAATGCATCATTTTAAAGTGCAAAACCTTCATCTGTATCCATCCAGGTGGTGCATTTACTGACCCCTTCCAAACAAACCCCTCTAAGCTGCTGTGGACACGCCGGCTCAGTGCACGACCACCGACACCACTTTTCACCACAACCCAAACACCCCAGAACATAAAACAACACCATGAATGTTTGTAACAGATTGGTAGTTCCTAATTATAACTGTGTGACCTAAAGACAGAGTCAAACCCCACTGGTTTGCATCATGTGAGTTTGGGGGTAAAAACACCTTTTGTTACCATTACACATGAATGTACCACATATGAAGAACAGTTTAGGATAGGGGATCATGTAATGTTCTGGTTCATTTACCAGCATATTTAACTGGTTTGATTAAATAAACGGCCCATATAGGCAGCTGAAACATTGTGAACTCCTCCTGCACATCCACACACGTCAGGCAAATCCCTCAGGAAAGCCCAGACTAGGGACGATGAGCTCCTGTGATGTCAGGCTCGGTCCAAAGCCGGCGGGACGGCGAAGCGGTGGGAGCGAAGGACGGGGGAGTGAGAGCATCTGAAGGGACTTTACTAAAGCTGGGAAATGAAGCAGGCAGGAAGAGGAAAGATTTAGAGGATCGGACGAGGCTTTAAGACACGTTTGGATCTGAGCTAAACATCGGGGATCAAACGCAAACCAGGTGTGACGACGTAACCCAAAGCAGTTCCTGTATCCGTGTGAATGGGACGCTGTGTAATACATTCAGGAACTTCTTATGTAACTCTGGACGTCATCGGAGGCGCCTCCGCAGGTCAAAGAGGGTAAAGCAGACGGTCGGCGTGAAACAGCCTCCCCATGGCTGCCCGCCGCCTTTTCCACCACCGATCAGAGATGAGTGAGGACGACGCAATGCACGTCTTCTCATGCCAGCATCTTCTCCGGGTTCTTAGAGAGGGTCTGCAGAAGGCTTCTTTGGAAATCCTCCTCTGGTAGTTCAGGTAGCAGGAAGTCCAGCAGGACATCAAACATGCAGAAGACCAGATGTCTGCAGAGACACAGGAAAATCATCGTCATTTCAGACGCTAAGAACATTTCATAGTTTAGACCAGACGTCTACAGAATCCCATCCCTCCATGTCTGTCATTAATTCAGATTTATATATACATATATATGTTACCTGTGGGATTAAAAACACAGCAAACAATCAAATGATTATTAGCAGGAACTGTTTTTTCCTTCTATTTTCTGGATTTTTGCTGAATGTGGAATTCTAGTTTCCTGCTGACTAACGTTCCACCAATCGCCTCACAACTTTCATAGTGCTTCATTTTTTAAAGACCATCCATACTTTTCAATTAGGCTGACATCTGAACTTTTCCAGTAGTTTTATGATTATAAAGTGAATTTGTTGCATTATTATTTAAAAAATAGAACATTAAAAAAATGGAATCTAGAAACGAAACGTTGAAACACTTAAAGGAAGTCCGCTCATATTCAGAATTTAAACTTCTGAAAGTTCTTTAAATCTGAAATGATTCCATCCTGTTCAATAAATGATCAGTGTTTTTAATTCAGAGTAATTTCCATGTGAATGTGCTTTACTGGAGGCATCCATGTTTGTCAAAGAACACTACTGCCACCTACTGGTTAGTGACATTGTCACGGTGCGGTATCGGCTGTTGATCAAGTCCCAGTGCTGTATCTGGTGTTTGTCACAACGCGCTATTATCCAAGTCATCTTGAAAACATTCTTCTTCCAAATGTTGGCTACATATTACGGGTTTTTTCTCTGGCCAGAAGTTCGATGGCAAATCCTCCCTCTTCAAGTTGGCGATCCAACGACCAACCCGTCCGTGGAGGATCAGGAATCAGAAAGGTGGAATAACTCTTTTTTTCACTTTTCCCCGATGTATTCCAGCATCCAGCTGCCATGCACGTGGGCATTGTCAGTTTCACTATAGCTCTGGTGAATTCCAATGGTGAAGTCCTCTGGAAATCTTCAATAATTGTTGTTGATTGCAGATGTGTCTAGTAGTTCCCATTGATTTAGCTTGGAAAGCGGGGAGAATGGCGCTAGGCTAACCGCAACGTGACGTCACTGCTGGAAGATGGCAGGAGGGAGGGGCTACTAGACTTGGGCAAAAATGGCCGCTCCCAGACTCCCAGAATTTTTGTTTTTATTCTTTTATTCAGTAACGATACATTTTCTTAAATCACAGCAAACGTATTAGTTTTAGGTATAAATAATGGTCCATTGATTATTTCTCGCTGACCGGACTTTTTTATTAATCAGGTTAATCAGGCTTCTTAAACGATTTGAAGGGAACTTTGCTGTTTTCTCATGTATTTCTAATTTAATTATTTCTAAGTTCTCTTTTTCAGACTGATTGTTACGATTTTCCTTCCTTTTTAATTACTGTTTCAGATCATTTCAGGCTTTCGTCTGGAGGGCGGAGCAAAAAACGCGTTTCTATTGCCGGACATTAGAAGCAACAATTCTGTCGAGAGCAGATTTAAAGTGTAATCTGAAATTAATGCAGTTCGTAAAAAATGTATCTGACAAAGAGGAAGTTGAAAATATAAGAAAAAACAAAGAAAAAAAAACAAACAGAAAAAAAAAAACAGCCAAGTTACTCTCAAAACCTTTTTTTTTTTTATTATTACATTTTCATTTTCACTCCCTGTTTGCCTTTTTTTCTAATATTAAACATGTTCTTTGCATCAATAGTTGAAGAAAATTCATTCCATAAATATTTTCCTCTTTTATCTAATCAAGAATCAGTTTTAATGGATTTATAAATGTGTTCTATTAGGGGATCAACCATCTATCTGCTCATTCTAATTATTCTACAGAAGAGATTATTTAAAACAGTCACAGATGCATGAAGCTTTTTAGAGAAACTTTAAATGAGCTCTGGATGGTCCTAAAAACAAATCAGACATGGGATAATAATAGAAGGAAGCAGGGATTCTATCATTATTCTCTATTTATTCTGCATAAGCATTGCTAATGGGATCTAATTTTATTTTCTAGACCTAAGAAGGCTGTTTTTGATGAAGGGACCTGAATGGAGACAGTAAATGGGGATTAATGGATGCTTTAAAGGAACCAAACTAATCAGGTTCATGTAGCACAGAGTGTCCAGGATGAAGCCAGGTCAGGGAACATCTGGTTTATTTAGACTCCATTAATTCCTCAGAGGTCATCTCAGGACGCTTCTCTCTTCGCTGGAACCTGCAGCCGATAAAATGCCGCCGTCTCCGTTTTAAATTTAACTACAAAAACTGAAGGCTGGACACACGGAAAGTTTATATGGAGCTAGACCTCCATGAAGGAGGAGAGGAGAGGAGAGGAGAGGAGAGGAGAGGAGAGGAGAGGAGAGGAGAGGAGAGGAGAGGAGAGGAGAGGAGAGGAGAGGAGAGGAGAGGAGAGGAGAGGAGAGGAGAGGAGAGGAGAGGAGAGGAGAGGAGAGGAGAGGAGAGGAGAGGAGAGGAGAGGAGAGGAGAGGAGAGGAGAGGAGAGGCCTAATCAGCTTAAATATAACCTTTACATTTCATTTATATTATATATAATTATATACATAATTCTAAATTATATTATATAATTTATAATTGAAATTAATTCAGATTTGCTATCTTGGAACTATATAATAATAATAATAATAATAATAATAATAATAATCAAACCATCGACCTCCTACTGTAGAGTAGATACTTTATATTTTACTATTTTAAAACCTTAATATTTCTTGTCTATTTTCAGTATAAAAATACAACATTTTATATTCTTAAAACTCTTATTTCTAGATAAAATATTTTATTTAAAAATCGTAAAGGAGCCTGAAAATAAAAAAACTTTTACTATAAAAAGCAAACAAATGTAAATTAATTTTATTTCCTCGAACCACAAAACAGAATACATCAATTTACTGCACTTTACATTTATAAATGAAGCAACATTTAATTCAACATATTTACTTATTTATTTGTAGGTTTAATATCTGATTAATCTATTTTCGATCAATAAAGAAATAAATGTTCTTTTTTTCATGGGGCTTTCACATTAATGTATTTCAGGGATATTTTATGCCTTAATTTATCTCATGGATCACATCACAATGATGATGGGAAAATCCAACACGTTGCGACCCCCGACTTAGTGTTTTGTGACCCCTGAGGGGTCCTGGCCCCCATTTGATTAGAATCCTCCTTCTCACATATGAAGCCTTAAATGGCCAAGCTCCATCTGATATCAGAGATCTGATTGTTCCTTATGTTCCTAACAGAGCACTTCGCTCTCAATCTGCAGGTTTACTAGTGGTTCCTAGAATTTCTAAAAGTAGAATGGGAGGCAGATCTTTTAGTTCTCAGGCTCCTCTCCTGTGGAACCAACTACCAGTTTTAGTCCGTGAGGCAGACACCCTGTCTACTTTTAAGGCTAGGCTTAAAACTTTCCTTTTTGATAAAGCTTCTAGTTAGAGTGGCTCAGGTTATCCTGAGCTATCTCTATAGTTCTGCTGCTATAGGCTTAGACTGCTGGAGGACATAGGGACCCCCATTTCATCATTCTGCTTCATTCTATCTCTATTCTCCCACTCTGCAGAATCTGTTAGTTCAATCTCTAACGTTCTGCTCTCTCTGCTTTTTCTCATAGTAGCTTCATCTGGTCTGTTCCTGTTTGGCTGTGACTCCATCCTGGAGAGAAATATCAGCTGTGCTGCTGCCATCAACACCTTTGTTTCTAGATGTTGGAGCTTGGCCTGTTTTCCAGTGTAGTCCTGTTTCTCTGACTGTGACTAACTGGATGTGCTCTCTTCATCCTCTGACATGGGAGCTGGCTCGGAGCTCGTCTGCCTGGCTGTGTGTTTCCTGGACGGGGCCGCCTGTGGAGCTGGTTGACAGTTGCCTTTTGTATCTATGCTTCTTTTTCTATGTCTGCTTCTGTCTCCTTGAACCCCAGTGGGCCTCAGCAGATGGCCGCTCACACTGAGCCTGGTTCTGCTGGAGGTTTCTTCCTGTTCAAAGGGAGTTTTTCCTCTCCACTGTCGCTACAAGCATGCTTAGTGTGAGGGATTGCTGAAAAGTCAATGAGTCGATGAAATCAGCTGGTTTTCCTTAGATAAAATCCCTCCATGAATGTTTGTGTCTGTGGTGTTTTAGAGGCTAGAACCTGATGGAACATTTGATGAATCTTTTTTTATTAACTTCAATGATAATTATGACTTCACCACCTAACTTTAACCAAAAGTGATTAATATTTGTTTGCGAAAAAATATTGGGAAACCAATAAAACCCCCAACAGGCTGTCATGCAGTGTTTAATTCACCTGTTAATATCCGGGTCCTGAAAGGAATCCAGAGCAGTCTGCCAGCTAAGTCTGAACGTATCAGAACCCAGAAGATCTGAGACCAGATCTAAAGACACAACGACATGAAGATGAAGGTGAGGGTTTGCAAAGACCAGGCGGTAGTCTGTTTCCTGTAGAAAGACTTTTAAAAAAATAGTTTCCAAGTGGTGGAATGAGCAGTTTTCTCTGACTGTGTGTAGCTTAAAGTAACTGCCCATCCCCCACCTGTTGCTACACACAGCTGCTCAGATCCTCACGTGAAGACAACACTGATCTAAAAATGGTTGAGGATCATCTGATCGGTTTTGCCCCTAAAACAAATAGATTAAATGAAGATGTTTGTTTGTTCAAAAATATTCATTTTAAACACAAAACTTATTTCATTGGTAATTTGTCTGACCTGCTCTAATAAAAGGAAAATATGCTTATTTGAAGAAAAAAAATGCACTTATCTAAAGTTTTATTTTATTTTTTTTTCAGGGCACTATCCTTCCATCGTCATCATTGCAGAAAAAGGTCAAAGTCATGATGTGAAAACTAGCGCTTCTGTAGGTCAGTTTGTCTTCTATGCCTTGAGCAGATAGCCTGGCTAACTGACCAGCTAACATTAAGGCGTTAAACCTGAACAGCAGTGAAACGTTCCTCAGACTAAGAGCTTAAAGGAAACATCCAGTCAAGATCATAATACAAACTTCTGAAAGATCTTTAAATCTGAAATGATTCCATCCTGTTCAATAAATGATCAATGTTTTTAATACAGAGTAATTTTCATGTGAATGTGCTTTACTGGAGGCATCCATGTTTGTCAAAGAACACTCGTTCCACCAACGTTCCACCAATCGCCTCACAACTTTCATAGTGCTTCATTTTTTAAAGACCATCCATACTTTTCAATTAGGCTGACATCTGAACTTTTCCAGTAGTTTTATGATTATAAAGTGAATTTGTTGCATTATTATTTAAAAAATAGAACATTAAAAAAATGGAATCTAGAAACGAAACGTTGAAACACTTAAAGGAAGTCCGCTCATATTCAGAATTTAAACTTCAGAAAGTTCTTTAAATCTGAAATGATTCCATCCTGTTCAATAAATGATCAGTGTTTTTAATTCAGAGTAATTTCCATGTGAATGTGCTTTACTGGAGGCATCCATGTTTGTCAAAGAACACTACTGCCACCTACTGGTTAGTGACATTGTCACGGTGCGGTATCGGCTGTTGATCAAGTCCCAGTGCTGTATCTGGTGTTTGTCACAACGCGCTATTATCCAAGTCATCTTGAAAACATTCTTCTTCCAAATGTTGGCTACATATTACGGGTTTTTTCTCTGGCCAGAAGTTCGATGGCAAATCCTCCCTCTTCAAGTTGGCGATCCAACGACCAACCCGTCCGTGGAGGATCAGGAATCAGAAAGGTGGAATAACTCTTTTTTTCACTTTTCCCCGATGTATTCCAGCATCCAGCTGCCATGCACGTGGGCATTGTCAGTTTCACTATAGCTCTGGTGAATTTCAATGGTGAAGTCCTCTGGAAATCTTCAATAATTGTTGTTGATTGCAGATGTGTCTAGTAGTTCCCATTGATTTAGCTTGGAAAGCGGGGAGAATGGCGCTAGGCTTACCGCACCGTGACGTCACTGCTGGAAGATGGCAGGAGGGAGGGGCTACTAGACTTGGGCAAAAATGGCCGCTGCCAGACTCAGTGATCGAGATGAAAATTATTGTTTTTAATTTTTTACTGATTAATGCTAAATTCATTAAATCACCACAAACGTATTAGTTTTAGGTATAAATAATGATGGATTGATGATTCCTTGCTGAACGGACTTTTCCTTTAAAAAACAAAACCACATTAAAGAACTAACTCATCCTGGTCGTTTAAGCCAGGCGTACACTGTACGATTTTTGCCCATTTTGGGCCGATTCTCCAGTCGTGCGTGGTGTAGTATACAGGGGGTACAGTAAACGAGGGGCGATCAGCCTCTAACGACCACCTCTCCATCAGGAATCATGAAGTTGGGAGAAAATCAAACATGTTTGAAATTCAGTCAGCCGTAGTAAGGTGGTCGTGGGCATATCGCTCAGTGGGCAAACAAGGATTCTTCTTCTTCTTCCTCTCAGAGGAAAACCCAGCAGCATGGCGGGGGTGCAATGAGTGAAATGGAGTTCTTTCTGTCAAACTGTCAGACCATAGTAGCCACGTTAGCTCAGCCATGTCTTTGTCCAAATACGTCGTCTCCTTTTCTTTTTAGGGCTTTCAGCACTAAATCGCCCAAATATCCAAGGCAGCGTGTTTCACTCTAGTGAGCTTTAGTCTGAGTGGCGCCATCTCTCAGCGCTGAGTCCCACATGGTTTTTAGACGTACAGTGTGAGCAGGTAGATCGCATCAGAGCGTCGGGTCGCACAGAGTGAGAACAAACATGGTGAGCTGTGAACTTTTAAACCCTGCGGTTTGGTCGTACAGTGTGAGCTTTAGCTGCGTGCAACGATTGAAAATATCGTACGGTGTCTGAGAATGAGCCAAGTTAAAAACGGTCCCATTATCATGATACTATAAGAGATCAAATGTTATTTCAGCAACAGGAGGAACAACCGGCTGTTCTGGGAGTCATGTCGGCGAATCCCTCCGTACCTGGCACGAGGTTGGTCAGGCAGTCTAAGGCCTGCTGCTTGGTCTGGTCTTTTTGCTGCTGGCTGCGTTCAGGCGGAGCGGCAGCTGGCAGAGCTCCTCCCGGCCACACCGCTTCCTGGACGACCTGCAGGTATGCCACCCAGTATTTGGTGCAGGTCAGGTTGGCTACGCTCACGTCCAGCCATCTGAAACACACACAGAAGGGGTTCATAGTTAGTGATTATCCAGCCGTCCGTAGGCCCAGCTGACAATGAGAAGCAGATCCAATCCCAGTTGACACCTGGAGACACAGTGGAGCCTTTCAGCCTGGATTTAGGAGCTGAGTGCATGGTGACCCTGTTCTGCCTGACTGGACCATATCACAGCTCTCTGGTTAGCGGCTGATTTCACATGAAAGCCTGCGTCTTCTCTCCACAGCACTCCCACGGAGATTTGAACCTACGGAGCAGGAGGAGCCTGACCTGGCACAGCCTTGCACAGGAAGTGCTCTCAAGCTAAACCCTTTTAGTGTTTGGTCTGCTCTGTTTCTACCTGACTGACAGGATTTACGTCGTACCACGGCCAACGTGGAACCCAGACTAAAGGAAGTTACTGAAAGCAACTAGTGAGCTATTTAGACGCTTACTCAGATCACCCTGTAGGACGTGTGATAAAAAGTTCAATAGAGCAGAAAGAAGCTGCTTTGAAAACATCCAAAAGGCCTGAGCTGCTGGAAAGAAAAGAAAATAAAAGAGAGGAAAGGAAAAAAGCAGGAGGTCAGCAGCTTCCAAAGAGGGGGCCACAAGGGGGCCTAGGGGAACCTCAGGGAAATAGAAATACATTTATTTACAAAGTGATACATTTTTTTAAATCATGAAATATAATATTGTTTAAACATTTAATGTATAAACATGAAAAACTCTAATAATTCAAATAAAAGGCTAAAATTTGAAGAAAGTAACGTTAGCTGACAGGATGATGAAGGCCTTTTCCTTTTTGCAGTAAGATACCAGGGTGGCGCTCGTTTTTTTTGTTTTGTTTTTTTTTACTTTAAACATACTCCAAATGAAACATAGAGCAGTGGACTATGACATTTTTATGGCACTGCACATATTAAGCCCCGCCCTCCCTTCGTTTGTATAATCAAAAGTTTGCATCCAATGAGAAAAATAATACAGAGTTAAATAAGATGTTAGGTTATATGTACGGAAGAGGATTAGGGCCACTGGGAAAAAAAAAAAGTTAACAGATTTTTTTTTTATTTTATTTCAGTATAGTATGGGAAGAAAGTCACAATTCTGAGATTAATCTCAGAATTCTGACTTTTTTTCTCAGAATTCTGACTTTAATCTCAGAATTTTGACTTTAATCTCAGAATTTTGACTTTAATCTCAGAATTCTGACTTTTTTTATTGTCAGAATTCAGTCAGAATTCTGAGAAAAAAGTCAGAATTCTGAGATTAATCTCAGAATTCTGGCTTTTTTCTCAGAATTCTGAGAAAAAAAGTCAGAATTCTGACTTTTTTCTCAGAATTCTAAAAAAAAGTCAGAATTCTGAGAAAAAAGTCAAAATTCTGACTTTTTTCTCAGAATTCTGACTTTAATCTCAGAATTTTGACTTTAATCTCAGAATTTTGACTTTAATCTCAGAATTCTGACTTTTTTTATTGTCAGAATTCAGTCAGAATTCTGAGAAAAAAGTCAGAATTCTGAGATTAATCTCAGAATTCTGGCTTTTTTCTCAGAATTCTAAAAAAAAGTCAGAATTCTGAGAAAAAAAGTCAGAATTCTGACTTTTTTCTCAGAATTCTGACTTTTTTTATTGTCAGAATTCTAAAGAAAAGTCAGAATTCTGAGAAAAAAAGTCAAAATTCTGACTTTTTTTCTCAGAATTCTGACTTTAATCTCAGAATTTTGACTTTAATCTCAGAATTTTGACTTTAATCTCAGAATTCTGACTTTTTTTATTGTCAGAATTCAGTCAGAATTCTGAGAAAAAAGTCAGAATTCTGAGATTAATCTCAGAATTCTGACTTTTTTTCTCAGAATTCTGACTTTAATCTCAGAATTTTGACTTTAATCTCAGAATTTTGACTTTAATCTCAGAATTCTGACTTTTTTTATTGTCAGAATTCTGAGAAAAAAGTCAGAATTCTGAGATTAATCTCAGAATTCTGGCTTTTTTCTCAGAATTCTGAGAAAAAAAGTCAGAATTCTGACTTTTTTCTCAGAATTCTAAAAAAAAGTCAGAATTCTGAGAAAAAAGTCAAAATTCTGACTTTTTTCTCAGAATTCTGACTTTAATCTCAGAATTTTGACTTTAATCTCAGAATTTTGACTTTAATCTCAGAATTCTGACTTTTTTTATTGTCAGAATTCAGTCAGAATTCTGAGAAAAAAGCCAGAATTCTGAGATTAATCTCAGAATTCTGGCTTTAATCTCAGAATTCTGACTTTTTTTATTGTCAGAATTCAGTCAGAATTCTGAGAAAAAAAGTCAGAATTCTGACTTTTTTTCTCAGAATTCAGTCAGAATTCTGACTTTTTTCTCAGAATTCTAAAAAAAAGTCAGAATTCTGAGAAAAAAGTCAAAATTCTGACTTTTTTCCCATGTTAAACTGAAATAAAATTTAAAAATCAGTTAACTTTTTTTTTTTCAGTGGCCCTAATCCTCTTCCGTATATATGCTTTCTACTAAACAAACATGATAATTGTACAGAATTAAAACAATCACATCTCTCTGTTAGTCTGCATTGTGGGGATGGATGCATCATTGAAATGTTTGCGAAACCCTGCATTAGGCTATGGAAAACAGGGGTTCCCAAGGTGGAACATTTTTTAAGAATTTTCAAATTCTTAAAAACATATTCCTGATATACATGGAGGTCCAAACTATATCATGAAACATATAAACGGGAAATGTCCAACTAAATACTGGATAAGCGGCTGGATCAGCTGATCAGGAAGGCCTGCTCTGTGATTGGATGCCCTCTGGACTCAGTGCAGGAGGTGGGAAACAGACGGATCCTAACTAAATGAACATCTCTGTCAGAGCATGTGAGCGTGGAGCGAGTGGTGCAGCGGAACGGAAGAAATATGGCGGAGCGCAGAGCGGTTTTCAATTCAAAGGCCGGAGCGAGGATTTCGCTCCAGTTCGCTCCGATGCGGATAAAAGATCATAAAAACATACACTAACTATACTGAACAATACAGAGTGGGTTTACATAAAGTTATCGTTGATGTCAGAACCCGTTTTTGAAAATACATGCAGTATACGCTATTATCTCATCCGCAATGGGATGAGATGTGACCTTTTTTAATGTAGTCTGGTAAAATAAATGAATAAATAGGAAACATGGGGCAACATGGAGCGAGGTGTTCGTTCACAGCTGGGAAACAATGCCATAATTTAACAGCCAGTTAAATATGACAATCTCCCCCCCATGCATGAAGCTGGTGCTGAACTGGACAGCTCCTTCAGTGACAGACTGCTGCACCTTAAATGCACCAGGGAGCGTTATCACAGATCCTTCCTCCCAGCAGCTGGAAGACTCTAGAACCACCACTGTTCCCAACAACCTCAACCAGTTCTTCCATTCATGCTGATTTTGCACAGTTTCTACCTTAGTCAGTTAAATAACCTGCTGCTGTCATTTCGCACGTCTCTGGTGTTGCTGCTATTTTCACAATAATGGGAGTGGCAGCTTAGTGGTTAGGATATAGAGCTTGGAATCCTGAGGTTGTGAGTTCAAAACCCACTCCCACAGACTGTCACTCTGGGTCTCTGAGCAAGACCCTTAACCCCACACTGCTCCCATGGCACAACAAATAAGTTAACTGCGGAGAATGGATTTTGTTGCTCTGTACTTGTGACAGCATAATGACAATAAAAATACGCTGGGAAAAAAAAAAACACATTACTGTAAAATTGTCCACAGCTGTGTGCAGAATTATTAGGCAAGTTGTATTTTTGAGGATTATTTTTATTATTGGGCCACAATTGCGTTCTCAATCAACCCAAAAGACTCCTTAATATCAAGGTTTCATATTTTTGTAAGTTGTTTTTTGAGATTTGGCCATTTAATGAGGATGTCTGTGTGAGCAGCTAAATATTACTGTGCAGAATCATTAGGCAACTTAATAAAAAACAAATATATACCCATCTCACTTGTTTTTATCAGGTAAACCAATATAACAACTCAAAATTCAGAAATAAACATTTGGGACAATTTAAAACATTTAAAAACAAACCAAGTCAGTGACCAATCTAGCCACCTTTCTTCACCATGACGCTCTAAAGCCTTCCATCCATAGATTCTGTCAGTGTCTTGATCTGTTTGCGATCCACATTGCGTGCAGCAGCCTCCACAGCCTCCCAGACACTGTTTTCCCTCCCTGTAGATCTCACCTTTCATGAAGGACCACAGGTTCTCCATGGGGTTCAGATCAGGTGAACAAGGGGGCCATGTCATTATTTTTCTCCTTTTAGACTTTTTCTGGCCAGCCACGCTGTGGTGTATTTAGATGCGTGTGACGGAGCATTGTCCCGCATTAATATATCAGGTTTTTCTTGAATGATGGCGACTTCTTCTTGTACCACTGTTTGAAGAAGGTGTCTTCCAGAAACTAGCAGTAGGTCTGGGAGTTGATCTTGACTCCATCATCAACCCGAAAAGGTCCCACAAGCTCATCTTTGATGATAGCAGCCCATAGCATTACCCCACCTCCACCTTGCTGGCGTCTAAGTAGATTAGGAACTTGCTGCCCTTTACTGATCCAGCCTGGTGCCCATCCATCCATCTGGCCCATCTAGACTCACTCTCATTCCATCAGACCAAAACACCTTGGAGAAATCAGTAGGCAGAAATTTCTTGGCCCAATCTTGACGTTTTGTCTTGTTCAAAGGTGGCCTTTTTTCGGCATTCCTTACCTCGGCCAGGTCCCTGAGGATTGAGCACCTTGTGCTTCTCGGCACTCCAGACATGTTGCAGCTTTGAAATATGACCCAACTGGTGGCTAATGGCTTCCTGGCAGCTTCACGCTTGATCATTCTCAATTCATGGGGAGTTATTTTGCGTCTTCTTTTTCAACACGCTTCTTGCGCCCCTGTTGGCTATTTGCCATGAACCGCTTGATTGTGCGATGATCCCGCTTCAAAAGCTTGGATATTTCCAAACTGCTGCACCCCTCTGAAAGACATCTGACA